GACTCCATATGCATATATAGGGTCGGTGTCCACATATGTACTAATGTATACCCCCGATCAACAGCCGGCAAAATATCGGGCCTGACGGCTCGATGGTTAGGGCCTTTGCCCCTGGCCGGATAGATGCCGGTTCGAAATTCGAGTGTGGCGGCAATTTCCGCGGCTACACTGGAGTTGGGTAACTGCACCTGATGACGCCCAGTGAGGCAGAAATAGGTATCGTGCATGTCCCTCATGGTTGCCGATAATGCCTAATACAATAAATGTTACTGAAATCTAGTAAGCAACATAAATGAGCCATGTGGAAATGGTTGTAAGATTTGCATCCACCCATGACAGTGGAAAGGCAGCAAATACCAGGGCAGGTGTGTCCTGTCGCTGTACACATATGTACTAAGATCTATATGCATTCGCATCTTAAGAGGGGGTATGCGTTTACGTGTTCCAGATTATACGTTCGTGTTTGAGAAAATTTTACATATCTTTACGTTCTTAAGCTGATTCCATCGCGAGTTAATAAAACTGACCACATAATTAAAGTCAACTGGCTTACTCATAAATGGACACGTATAACGAACAAAGCAACAAATGCCTCCTAATGCCCAGTCCTGTTGACACCGAAAAAAGTGTTTTGTTGAGTTATCAGGGAGATACTTCTCTGCGTGCTTATTTTTGGCAAATTTTGTCAAATGTTAAAAAACAATAAAAATAGTTGAAAGCCAATTAATCTTGTAAGGATCGTTGTTGTGTGCATGAAGTGTACTGGTTAATGAAAATAAAACGCCTTTATAACCCTCCGTCTGGTATGAAATAAATATTTTGGGAGAATGGTGCACGATAAACGGCCTAGAAACGGAATTTATTCAAGTCTTTCTAGGCGAGGTGTTGGTTTTTAATTGTAATTTCTGTTTCACATATTAGGTGGAATATTGTACAGCTAATTGCCTTCAGTTCAGTCTCCATTATTCAATAATGTCGTCCATTTTTTCTCTTACTCACTCTCTTTCTCGTTCAAAAAATGCCTTTCAGATCGTCCGCATTGTGACGTTTCTAATGAAGAGTTCGAGAGTGCTGTTCGTCTTTGTTGCTCAATCTACCTCACATACTTTAACACCAGCAAGGAACCGCTCGAAGTCCGCCTTCAGTTGCTCGATAAGGCCTTTCACAGCCTACCAAGGACTCAGGCTCGCAGGTGACCACGTTTGTTTGATATGACCTTAATTCTTATTAATTTTTTACTGAATAGGGATTCAAAATGAAGGTACGCCACAAAAGGTAGAGCAGATTACCTCCAAGTGGTACCAGCGCCTAGTCTCATACTTAGCTGGATCGCCTCAGTCTCGCCCCTGATATACGATGGATTTAGTACAATGAAGCAGGTTTTATGCGAGTTTTTTTCTCATAGTAAAACGCCTGAAGGATTCTGCATTCCGCAAAATACCTTTAAATTCGTAGC